TACAAAATTCTGTCTCCCCTGAGTAACAATCTGTTTTCCCCTTGAGAATGAATTTTGGGGCCCCTGAGTAAAAATTCTCTGGCCTCGTAACTTTTGTCTGCCCCCTGAGTAAAAATTCTTGGACTCAGTAACAATTTGTCTGCCCGAGTAACAATTCTCTGGCACTCGTAACAATTCTGTCTGTCCTGAGAAAAAAATTTGGGGCCTAAAAAAGTTTCTGTGGCCCTAAAAAACAATTCTCTGGACTGGTAAAAATTCGTCTGCCCCCTGAGTTGAATTCTGGGGCCCCTAACTAGCGTTTCTTTGCCCCCTAAATAACGATTCGTGGCCCCTCATTAAAAAGTTGTGATGCGATCACATGTCCGTTGAGGAATGCATTATGGGGCAGCGCGCCTTGTCTGCGCGCCTTCCCCGACATCCCGCTCCGTCGCCGCACATGTCAGCCGCCATTTTCGGAAAAATTTTCGATTCGCGCGTTCCGAATTAGGCTGTTTTTCGGATTCGGCACGAATCGAAATTTTTCCGATATTTATTTTCGAACTCGAATTCCACTTCGGATACTTCGATTCGCTCATCTCTAGTGAGTATGTATTGCTGTGTTTTTTTCATTTCCCACATTTATCCTTTAACCACTTTATCTCCACACTATAGCAGATTTAATGCTGCAGGGCGGGACGTTCTGTGCCAAATTGCGTATATAAACATGATTTTGCACTTCTGCTGTAGGGGGCGTGCGCCGACGGAGTGCTGCTTCTGCTGTGATTGGACACAAGCAGAAGCCGATCAAAACAAGGTTGCCAGCAAATGGATGAGTGCCGCACCCATTGATTGCCGAGGAGACTGACATAAGACAGCTTCTGCCTATGTAAACAAGGCGGGAGCTGTGTTCTGTCAGCGGCAATCTGCTAGATTTTCTTTCTCTGTGAAGCAGGGAAAAAAATCTAGCAGATTGCCTAGTAAAAACAGCTAACACAGTACACAAAAACCACTGGTTAGGCACACAAAAGGTTAGGCACCTTTGATCGCGCTGGATGTTTAACCCTTCCCAGCCAGTGTCATTAATACAGTGACAGTGTACTGGCTTCCAATTACCCAGCGGATAAAACTTTCAAAACACTAACACTGATGTATAAAGCCAATCAATAACACTGCCCCTAACTACATCACCAACCTTGTCTCTAAATATCACCAAAACCGTACTCTCCGCTCTTCGCAAGATAATAATAATTTGTAGCACTGATCATTGTATTAGTGTCATTGGTTCCCACAATGTGTCAGTCAGTGTCAGAATGTCCACCGTAATATCGCAGTCCCGCTATAAGTCACTAATTGCCGCATTACTAGTATTAAAAAAATTCCTGTATATATACCATAGTTTGTAGATGCTATAACTTTTACACCAAGCAATCAGTGTTCACTTATTGTGATTTTCTTTTTTTAACAAATAGATGGAGCAGAATACATTTTGGCCTAAATTTATGAAAAAGTAGATTTTTTAATTAATTTTTGTATTTATTTATTGTATTGTAAAAATAATTTTGTCTTTTTTCATTTATAACACAAAAAATGAAAAAAAACTCAGAGCTGATTAAATACCACCTAAAGAAAGCTCTATTTGTGGGAAAAAATATATAAATGTCATTTATGTACAGCATTGCAGGTCAGGAAGTGGTTAACCACTTGTCCTTCGGAGGATTTACCCCCCTTCCTGACCAGGCCATTTTTTTGCGTTACGGCGCTGCATTACTTTAACTGACAATTGCGCGGTCATGAAACGCTGCACCCAAATTTACGTCCTTTTTTTTCCCACAAATTGAGCTTTCTTTCGGTGGTATTTGATCACCTGTGCGTTTTTTTTTTTGCGCTATAAGCAAAAAAAAAAACACCAAAACTTTGAGAAAAAAACTGTATTTTGGACTTTTTGCTATTAAAACATGTGCAGTAAAAAAAAAAAATTAAAAAATCAAATTTCATCATAAATTTAGGCCAAAATGTATTCTGCTCCATGTCTGTGCTAAAAAAAAATCCCAATACGTGTAAATTAACTGGTTTACGTGAAAGTTATAGCATTTACAAATGGCAGTATAGAAAATGGGATTCTTTTCTACTAGTAATGCCGGCGACTTCGGGACTGCGCCGGACATTCTGACACTGAGGGGAACTAACTTGGTGTCACTGACACCCCAGTGTCACCAATACAGTGATCAGTGCTAAAAAATAGTACTGACACTCTACTAGTTGCACTGGGCAGGAAGGGGTTAATGTGAGGGGCGATCAAAGGGTTAACTGTGTGCTGGGAGTGTTTTACTAGGGGGTGGGGGGGTGTTCTTCACTGTGAGCACACTGATTGGGATGGCTGTACTGTGTAGAGCCATCCTGAGCAGTGTGCCCGAGCTGACAGGGAGGAAGATTGTTTGTAAACAAAACAATCTTCCTCCCCGTCGGAGATGCTCAATAATCTTTGGGCGCCAGCGGGTAATTACCTTTGATTGACATCCATGGCCGCTAATGGCGGCGCAGGTAGGGCGTGTGCATCTCACGATCGCCCCCTATCCGGAAATGAAGAATGATGTATATATACGTGATCCTGCGCACAGGTGCTGCCCTGTAGCAGTATATCTGCTATAGGGCAGTCCTTAAGCGGTTAAAGAAACACTTACCCTTGACCTATTCTTGTAAGTAGTCTTGGGGTCTACAGACTCACTTGTTTTGTGCAACCTTCTTCTCATGCTCCAATGTGGGCAGGGCTGCTCTGAGCTCACAAGCAGGGCAATGCAGGACCCAGGAAACACTTGACCTATATTTTTCATGCTCAGATTAAGAAACACTAGCAAGACGGGTATGAAGTAGGGAAAAAAAACAGTAACAATGCTTACTATTTAAAGGATAAGTTCACCTTTTAGAAAAAAATATTAAATGCACATTTTTGCAGGTAAAAAAATGTGCATTCATTACTTTTGTCTACAGGAACCTGTAAAGCACTGCACCGGCGATTAGCAGATCACTGGTGCCATGCAGGTCTCCTGCAGACCTGTCAGTATATCTTCTTGCCCGTACGGGATGTACAGTATGAGCAAGCAGATATATTGACAGGGAGAATGAATGAACTACCACGGTGCTCACAGCGCCATGATAGTTCATTGAGGACTACAAGCTGACAGCCGCTAAGGCTGTTGGGACTTGTAGTCTCTCATTCACAGATGACTGTGAATGAGTGACACGGACGTGTGGGTAGAGCTCCGCCTCATTTTTTAAAAATTTGACAGCCAGCGAGGGGGGAGAAGATCCCCTGCTAGCTTTCAAAGCAAGGATCTGGGATGGGGAGCGGGGGGCTGATCGCAACATGTTACATGTTACACCCTGAATATGTTACACGTGTAGCATGTTACGAAAGGTGAACTTATCCTTTAAGAATCCTTTATCCCATTTCTAATAAAGAAAATACATTTTTCACACAATATGGTACTGATGAAATATTCTCAGTTAGAAAAAAGTCTTATATTTTGTTTTAGTTCCCTGCCAACTGGGCTGCAGTCCAACACCCAGCAATGAAAATGTGTAGCAACAAGATCCCCGCTAATCCATTCACAGCAATTATTCATCTCAGGCTAAAAACAAGCTGAAGGGAACTAAAAGATTTTGTTTGCAATCAAACGATTCTAACACTAGGGGCAGTCTAGCTGAGGGGGCCCTGGATCAATAGACCTGAATACAGATTCAATCCATCATCATTTCAACTATATCCATTCTGTACTGTGTGCCAGATCTACCTAATGACCTCTGATATACAAAGTATGTTTATTTATATGATCATCTTGATACTTTTACATTTACATTTCGTACAGATGAATAGAGTTCATGTCACTATTATTATATCATAATATTATTGGGTAAAAAAGTGCATTAGACTCTATACATTGGCTTTCTGTACCAGGTAGTATTTGGGACAGAACTATGCATTGATCTCCCTTGAAAACCTAAGGGAAAACACAAAGTGCGGCAAAACGCGACAACTGCAGTACCCTGATTTTGCTGCAGTTTTGCCGAATTGTGCGTTTTCCCGCTGTTGGCAGTCAAAACATTCCTATCCTGAATGCGATTCTTATGCGTTCAGGAGAGGGAGGTTTAACCTCACCTAAACGCGGCAGCTCCTAAATTCTGCTAAATGCCTATGTGTACATGGAGACATAGGCTTTTATGGAGTTGAGTTTAGGAGCTTTGGCAAAAAAATGACAAAAGCTCCTAAACTTGAGTGTACATGAAGCCTAATACTAACTAATCTTCCTTGTAATCCTAATACGCTCACACACTAACCATCCCTGCAGGGGAGGACTGACAACTCATGGGGCCCCGGGCAATAGGGGATCATGGAGACCCTTTGTCCTTGTCAAAACTCAAAAAAGCCTATGAAAAAGGTACCAGGGGCATCTCATGGGGCCCCCTACTGACCCCGGGCCCTCAGGCAGTGCCCGAGTTTCCAAATGGTCAGTCCTCCCCTGCATCCCTGTAACCTATCACAAACCTACCTGTTATTAGGACTTTAAAGCAATACTAAAGGTCAATTTTTTTGTAAAATTGATCCTCCTCTTCTGGGTCCCCTGCCGGTGTTCATCCTTTCTGTTAGGTGCCCCCATAGCAAGCAGCTTGGTATGGGGACACCCGAGAAGGCCACAGAAACGTTAGTTAGGGCCACAGAATTGTTACTCAGGGACAGACAGAATTGTTACTAAGGGCCACAGAACTGTTACTTAGGGCCACAGAAACGTTAGTTAGGGCCACAGAATTGTTACTCGGACAGACACAGAATTGTTACTGAGGGCCACAGAATTGTTACTGAGGGCCACAGAACCGTTACTTAGGGCCACAGAATTGTTACTCAGGGACACAGAATTGTTACTGAGGGCCACAGAACCGTTACTTAGGGCCACAGAATTGTTACTCAGGGACAGACACAGAATTGTTACTCAGGGACACAGAATTGTTACTGAGGGCCACAGAACCGTTACTTAGGGCCACAGAAACGTTACTCAGGGACACAGAATTGTTACTGAGGGCCACAGAACCATTACTTAGGGCCACAGAATTGTTACTCAGGGACAGACACAGAATTGTTACTGAGGGACACAGAATTGTTACTGAGGGCCACAGAACCGTTACTTAGGGCCACAGAAACATTAATCAGGGACACAGAATTGTTACTGAGGGCCACAGAACCGTTACTTAGGGCCACAGAATTGTTACTCAGGTACAGACACAGAATTGTTACTGAGGGACACAGAATTGTTACTGAGGGCCACAGAACCGTTACTTAGGGCCACAGAATTGTTACTCAGGGACAGAAACATAATTGTTACTCAGGGACACAGAATTGTTACTGAGGGCCACAGAACCGTTACTTAGGGCCACAGAATTGTTACTCAGGGACAGACACAGAATTGTTACTGAGGGACACAGAATTGTTACTGAGGGCCACAGAACCGTTACTTAGGGCCACAGAATTGTTACTCAGGGACAGAAACATAATTGTTACTCAGGGACACAGAATTGTTACTGAGGGCCACAGAACCGTTACTTAGGGCCACAGAATTGTTACTCAGGACACAGAACTGTTACTGAGGGACACAGAACCGTTACTTAGGGCCACAGAATTGTTACTCAGGGACAGACACAGAATTGTTACTCAGGGACACAGAATTGTTACTGAGGGCCACAGAACCGTTACTTAGGGCCACAGAAACGTTACTCAGGGACAGACGCAGAATTCTTACTCAGGGACAGACACAGAATCCTTACTCAGGGACAGACACAGAATTGTTACTGAGGGACACAGAATTGTTACTGAGGGCCACAGAATTGTTACTCAGGGACACAGAATTGTTACTCAGGGACACAGAATTGTTACTGAGGGACACAGAATTGTTACTGAGGGACAGAGAATTGTTACTCAGGGACAGACACAGATATGTTACTCAGGGACAGACACTGAATTGTTACTCAGGGACAGACAGAATTGTTTATGAGGGCCACAGAACTGTTACTTAGGGCCACAGAAACGTTATTCAGGGACACAGAATTGTTACTCAGGGACAGACACAGAATTGTTACTCAGGGACAGACACAGAATTGTTACTGAGGGACACAGAATTGTTACTGAGGGCCACAGAACCGTTACTTATGCCACAGAAACGTTACTCAGGGACAGACACAGAATTGTTACTCAGGGACAGACACAGAATTGTTTACTGAGGGACACAGAATTTTTACTGAGGGACACAGAATTGTTACTGAGGGACACAGAATTGTTACTCAAGGACACAGAATTGTTACTGAGGGCCACAGAACCGTTACTTAGGGCCACAGAATTGTTACTCAGGGACAGACACAGAATTGTTACTCAGGGACACAGAATTCTTACTGAGGGCCACAGAACCGTTACTTAGGGCCACAGAATTGTTACTCAGGGACAGACACAGAATTGTTACTCAGGGACACAGAATTGTTACTGAAGGACACAGAATTGTTACTGAGGGCCACAGAATTGTTACTCAGGGACACAGAATTGTTACTGAGGGACACAGAATTGTTACTGAGGGACACAGAATTGTTACTCAGGGACAGACACAGAATTGTTACTTAAGGGCCACAGAACTGTTACTTAGGGCCACAGAACTGTTACTTAGGGCCACAGAAACGATACTCAGGGAC